ACTTGTTCACCAGAAATTTAAAGAGATTTAGGAAGAAATGAACTCCTTGGTACGGAATTTAGGCTGCCATATTTGACGGAAATACTTTGAGCACAAATCTGTTCCTCAAACACTTTGCCATGAAATACCTTATTCACGAATGCAATCCACAGCGGTTTATTTCAAAATGAATAACTCGGAGCGGAATTGGCCACACCTGAATATATCGGCTAATGGATATTTGGTTTTATTGACAATCAAATCGACTCGCTGCACTCGGGCTCCATATTTGGTTAATGAACGTCTGGGTTCATTGGAACTCAAGCTATATCAACTTGAGTTACGTTATGCATAATACCAACTTGAGAAATCTGTATATGAAGCATCACGGAGTCGAAACGTTTTCTGGTCGTTCAGATTGAATTACCATGAAACATAACTAAGCCCAAATCTTGAAGCTATCTTCCTTTCATTCGTTATTCAGACGTTTGATTACGAATTACGGTCATTGACCATTTAATATTGTATTATGTTTTATGCTTCACCTTAAATTTTGCTATTACTCTTACCGTCACTGATTGGGAGCCACACCGCCAGTCAACAAGCTAACTGTAGAGGTTAATGGCTTACACTAGGCTGATTTATTTGCCGTGAGTGTACAAGTCCTAGCCTTAAGCATTAGGTCGCTATCAACCCAGGTGAACACGAAATGCATGGTAATGTTAATTGCAGTATGAGTATCGAAAAAAGATGGAGAACATCGTGACTCATCGACATCCTATTGGTACTTAGCTACGATCAACATTACTGTTGCAATTGCCACAGATTACTATCAACAACTGTATGTTTTGGTCACCGGCGGCTTCACTGGCCTTCCACAAAAGATGGAGTAGGAAAACCCCGTATTCGCCAAGTCTCAGCTTCGTCAATAGATATGCTTGATCGACTTTCATATGACGATAATTTGATTGAAATCGTCCACGTCCGACGAGCGACAGTGCCCAAATCCTAAACCTTTGCCAGTAGGAGCGTTCAACCTACTTGAGTGGATTTTACTCAAACCGATGTATTCTCCTCCGGTCTCCGGTACTATCATCAGAATTGATGGTCTGACCAACTATTTTAAATGAGACCGGCATTTGAAAAATGATGTAATAGCAACTATCCCAACAGCGTCAACATACAAATGCGCCACGTGTTACTCGAAATCATTTATTTAAATGTCAATTTGAGATAGTCCGTTTGAAACCTACGCAGAAAATGATCAGAAGTCGCTGCGCAATTGGCGGGTGGTGTGACGGTTTTCAACAGCTTTTGTACACACTACATTTCTAATTTCATTATCTTCCATTCTGTTTCTCTTCTCTCTTTTTTATGAACTCAACATTTGACATTTGTTTTAACCGGCCTCCTCATTACCCACTCGGTATCTTTGTGGTCTTGCTCCATAATTTGGCCTAGTGTTTGTCTTTCTGTAACTGGGACCTACGACGGTTTCGTAAGTCGTAAATATGCATTGGTGTGTACCAATAATAGAAACGAAATTTCAACTGTCATTCAACTGTTTTTTTACGCACTGGAAATTTGGTCAGTCGAAGTGGAGACCTTGCGATATGTATTGAGCGTTGTTCGTGTTGTCGTTACACCCACTGAGAACTGACACTGGTCCAGAAAATTAAGCTAAAGCGAAAGAGGTTCTACGGGTATGTCAATTCAAAAGGCTCTACCAGAGAAGAGATGAACCCACTGGTACTTGAGGTAAATAGGGTTATAACTGAAAACCAGAGTAAAGCTCATGCATTCTCCGCTTACTTTTGCATTGTGCAAAGATGATTTGTGCTACACGATACTCGTTAATCTATTTGAGCGTGACAGTACTCCAATTCGTGCAACTTCTAACATGAGAATGTCGCTTGAACAAGAAGGGATCGATGAGGAAGGTCACGAAGTAACCTGGCAAGTCGCTGCAGAATTTGCGGAGGGTTCTGATTCTCAAATTTATAATTCAGTTAGTCCCGTTAATGCTAGAAGTTCATGCGCCCCAGATTGTGATGCCGATGTTAAAATTTATGATATATACCTCCGTAGGATTGTAGATTTAGAGCAGAATATTAGATCAATAAAGATTAGGAGGCAAAGGCTAAGCAACCTTACTCGATTAAGCACACCGCGACCGAAAAACAAACACTATCCATTAGACTCATGCCGAAAAAGGCTCAACTACCGATTAAAGTAATGTACCACCACCCGTCGATAGACCTTCCCAAGGTGAAGCTAACGCCATTCGACGGGATCCTTAGAAACTATTGAATATTTTTGGAGAATTTGATAATTTATCGAGTGTCGAGTCACCGATCCTGCATCTAGAGCGTTGTTGCCGCGGCAAGTGCCAGGACGGTGTTAAAGAATTTGTTAAGCCACCAAACGAATTCGAGTATAGCCGAGCAAGGAACATCATAAGGTACTGTTTGGCCAATCGTTTCACGTGGCACGGACGCTCATAGACGGGGAGCTGGTCGAGGCCCATAAAACGAAAAACAAACCCGAGTTGTTCGTGCGACTGGTAATGAATATGCTAAACTGCTTCGTTGTCCTGACTCAAATGAGTTACGAAGCAGATTGGAATGAGTTACACACCCTAGAAGCGCTAAGGGGGGGAAACAGAGTTTCACTGAGCTGACGGAATTCATCCAAAGCTAAGCCACGGTCACCAGTTTCATCTTCAGAAAAATCGCTAGCATGAGTGCGCGAGAAGAGAGGTATCATACCAAGGAACGAACGTACAATATCCCGAGAAGCTCTGGAAACGCAAACAACTATGCAACCGTGACAGGTGTGGTGAAATAGGGTGTCAAGGAAGCTACCATAACCTCTAGCATTCTATCCGAGAAACGCAATTACTGGCACCCCCAAATCTTAGTGTATGTCTACCAGCACAATGAACGGGCCCCAAAACTCAGTGTATTTCTACCAGCACAATCAACGGGCAAGCATGTGCGTCTCGGGGTAACACCAGTCGGCACACTCCCAGGGAGTAGCAAAGGCGATGGAATTTATTGACAATGGATCCGATAGAACTCTGATCACCAAGAGTCTCGCCGTAAAGACCATCTTACCTGACGATCAGCACGGTGAACAGTACCCAGGCTATTTCCGCCAATCAGAAAAAGTGTGCCGTTAATGTCGTTAGATAATGCTCAACGCATAGAGGTAACGAAGGCTTTCTCCATAGCCAACTGGCCACAGCGAGCAGTGGAATCAATCGAGAAACTAGCAACGCGCTAGCTACCCTGATAGATTTGCATTTCGAAGAAACCGAGTGTTTCGAAGTCGATTTGCTGATGGGATGTGACTTGCCAGAAGCACATTGGGTCCTGGACAAGAGACTGGGCAGAAGGAAAGAACCCTACGCCGCTCACACCGTTTTCGAATG